TCCTTGAATGCGTTTGCAGATAGATGTATTATACACTGCTTAGAATAATAATAAAAAAAAATATAAAAAAAGGTCGTCTATTAAAACACGGGTAGCCACTAAAAATAAGTTTTTAAATAATACAAACATGTCGGATTAAAAATAAATATATTAATTCTTTAGATATATAGAGGTTGACAAAGGGTTCGAACACTGAACTTCAGCAAAGAAAACACGAAAAGCTATCAGTTGCTGTATTCCCAAATGAAAATCTAATAAACGACATTCAAAAATGCGGAAGCCGTTTTTCTATCAGCATAGCGATTTCTTACCAAGTCGAAAAAGTCACCGTTTAATCTTCAACCCCATGCAACTTGTTTTCGTCAATATTAACAATGAAAGCCAAAAAGAGGGAAGAAATAATGATATAAGATCGAGGACTATTTAGCGCTACTCCGAAGAAGGCAATATTGAGTTTCGATTTTCAGTTCTCATCAGTGAAAAGATGTGAATAAGCGTCATGATGTCACTTTTGGAAGGCAAGGTTATACGAACCCCATTAAAAGATAAAGCCGGCATTGGTGTTGCCCTAAGGGTAGAAGAAAGAAACGTGACTGGAGATTGTTTGCTATTCGAACGGAGCTTAGAGATACCATTTTTCAGTTATTGATCCCGTTGTTACAAGAGCTGAAAAGCAACGAGAGAGACACATATTGTTAGATGCGCGTCACAGAAGATTTATATGACGTTTGGATTAGCAAAAGATCGATATTCTTAATCGATCAACTTTTGACATTTTACGATCAGAAAGGAAAAAAAAAACTCCACTTGCTGAGATAATCGCTAACTTGCAGATTTTTATGTAGCCATTCGTTTGGTGCCTAACGAAAGATGTCTTCCAAAAATTAAACTCTTATTAAACCGTAAGATTTTGTTGGAAAGAACGCTAAAAAGTCATCTACTATTATGATATATCAATCCTCCTAATCGCAAAGAAATGTCGACACTATCCTCACAAATGAAGAGTCAACAGAAATGGGTTTCTATATAAGAATGTCGAGAATACCGTGTACGGAACATGTCATTTATTGATTGGTTAATATTTTTTACGATTTATCAATCTTTTCAGGTTATTTTAAAGCAAAATTTTTTTAGATTGTAAGAATTTATCGGAGTAAATATTAATTTATTGACACAAGTCTTACTAATTAAGCCAAAGTTGACTGGAGAAGTGGGGGAATCATACATTTCCAAATGGTATTTGCTTGTAAGTAAATACAACGAAACCAAGTGGAATTAGAACCCGGCTGTCCGATTTCCAATCCCAGTTAATATTTCTCATTCCGCAACGTTATCCATCACACCATCCACACCATCCTCACCATTCACACATCACTTTACAGTACCTGGTATCCCAAAGCGGTCAGCCATGTAGTCACTGACCAGGCCGGACGTTGTGTACCTTCGTTGATCGTATGAGAACTAATGTTTCGATGTCATATGGCCGTAATCCCGAAGAAACATATGAGGAAAGAGAAAAATTTAAGGAAAATGGAAACATAGTGGATATTTCTATTCGGATCAGAAAATGTTCTTGAATACATAATGAGAAAAGAGGGTTAATGGGAATATTGACCCTTAAAGAACATACTGAATCCAAAGAGTTCATAGTGAAACAGCAAGTAAACTGTCTAAAAAAACTTGGTTAAATAACTGCATGAATTGACTGAGGGTAATCATTGCTTAGAGCTTGAAAGAATAGAAAGTTGTGGAGTGCCATAATCCGCAAGCCTTGAAGGGACATTGCATACATAAGAAAATTGTGTTATCCAATCTTTCAGTTTCGATATAAATTTACCTTCCATGTAAAAAATGACGGCAAGTTTTCAGATGTAAAACATATGTATATATAAATAATACCTTAAAAAATGAAGGCTGTTTTACAATATTCTGTGATTCATTAACTAATGTACTCATACATGATATCAAAGATATTATAGAAGTGATGACATACTTCGTAACATATATAATAAACACCAGTCATTAAAGTATTTGTAATATACTTTGTTCCATATATAATAGAAGTGCCATAAAAATTTAAAGACAGTATCATTGCTACATCATTTTATACTCATTTCCTAATATACTATTATAGGAATTCTAAATATCCAAACATTATTAAGTTTGTATTATATATGTGATTCAACCCTGACATGAAATAATTTCACAATGGTAACAATTATATAGCATATCCGAATCAAGAAAAGTTGGATTCATAGCCTTCCTAAGGGTATTTGCGCTTAAGTGAATAGAACGAACCCAATTGAAATTGGAGTTCGCTTCTCCGATTAAAATTTCCGAACTATTATCCATTCCACTACAGGAATATCCAAGCGTAGAACATCTGATATTCCCAAGCGGCCCCACCTTCTAGGTAAGACCAGACTCGACGGTGCTAAACTTAGGTGTTTCAACGCTATATGGCTGTAAACCTACAAAAGAAGTGGGTAGCAAAATGTTTTCAACACGGACAAGAAACCCTTCTACTATCAAATCTGGTGCTCTCGTTATATATCTTGAGGTTCTTGATAAAGAAGTGTCTGTAACGTAATTCAACGAAGAGTCGCTCCTGACCTGGCATTTCAACTTCAATCATTTTCCAAATGCCGTGATGTGTCTTCCCTCTGTCTTTTCTATAAATATTTTCATAGAAATTGTTCTGATGTGCTATCTTCCTTTGTACCAGAAATGCATAGATTTTAAGCATGTTACTAGATTAGCTCTTACCGTTTTACCGTTGAAGTAGCTAGATTCAACCGTAAGTTCTATTCTAATAGTTTCTTTACTGGCACTTCTCGTCTGTGGAAATCTCATCCGATTTCTTGCTTCCCTGCTACCTACAACCTGTTCTTTTATTGTCCTTTCTCCTCATTAACATTTCTTTTTTATTTTCTTTCACTCAAAGTTACCCGTTGCGTCTTCACGACATTATGGCCTTTCTTGGGGTAAAAATATTAAAAAATGAAAAAAAAAATGAAAAAATAAAAGCTAAAAAAAAAAAACAAAAAAAACGAACAAATTATTTACTTAATCCCATATCAAATCCTTATGGGTTATTTAATGCCGAAATTTAATTTTCTTTAGAGATTTGAAGTAATTAAAATATGACATATGTTATTCTACTTTCACAACTGAATACATGGTAGATAATATTCAACTTTTGTGCATAATACACGTTTGTGTGGATATAATTACTAGAAGCGTTGATATGTGTATTTTATGTAGTTTTTTTACAGTTATATTTAATATTTTTACAGTTTGATTTTTTTAAGAAATTGTAGGATATTATATGGATTAATATCATGAAAGAGCTATTTCATGTTGGTTGATCGGTTGATTTAGTTTAGCGACATATCAATCTCTATGGGTTATTCAATGCCGAAAATTAAATATTTTTAAGCAATTAATTGCCTTCAAACACAGCTAAAATTTATTGTTGGTAATTTTACTATATATAGATATTGTTCGTAAGTTTTATATAAAATTATATTGCTAGTATTTTTGTAATAAAATTTACTTTTATACAATGATAATATTTTGTTTTTGTTTGGGAGTTAACTGTTTGAATAGGGACCCTAACAGGTGCTATCACATGGGTAAAGTTAGAGCTGGGAACAACAGCAATCAAGAGGTGGTTCCACGCTCCTCAAAACCTCCAATCTCGCGATCAGAGCTCTTGTTGCTGGATGTAGTTTATCGTCATAGCAAGGGCTGCTGTATATTTTAAGTAACACTGCTTTCGGATTTTTCATCGGGCAAAGTTAATCAAGATATATAAAAATTTCAGACAGAAGTCACAGGCAGGAGAAATTTTGTATTCCCCCACAGTAGATGTGAAAAAGAGTCCCGGAAAGGTGAACACACATTGAGTATCCTATCCCTCGAGGAATTTGACTCAAATTGATCTAAATTAGAAACTATCACCTCATTGTCTAGCTTTCTTTCGAAACGACAATTTGGTTAATCATTTTGAATGAGCAGGCAGTTTGATGTTAATAGAATGGTGTTCATATTATACAGAAGAATCGTCATAAAATTGACTTGTGTCAGATTATCAAGCACGTTGGCATATACATTAAGAATATGCTTCAATCCCAAATCAATTTGCACGTAGGCTTATATCCATGTATCTTTGAAACACCAGTCCCCCGTACGATCACCGAAGTTAAGTAACATCGAACCTGGTCACTACCTGGATGGGGGACAGCTTGGGAATACCTGATGCTCAACGCTTGGATGTGCTCTTGGTGTAATGAATAATGGCCCAGCATTTTTAATCGGAGAGCCGAGTTTCAATTCTCGCCGGTTTCGTTATATATTCTTTGGGAACGATATTAATGCACCTCTTCTCCCCCAGCTATGGGTTAATTAATAAGACTTGTATTACGAAACCATTATTATGTTTTTTTTGTTTTTTTTTTAAGTCTAAAAATTATGAAAAATATATCTGGTTTTAATTAATCTGTAAAGGGTTGACAATCCGTCGTAAACGAATCAACCAATCAATTCCCATGCGATTCTGGCTTATATAATTTAGATAAACAATACGTATTGTCATATTCCCGACGTTTCGGACGTTGTGCACTCAGGGCTTCTTCAGGTGATATTATTCGAATTTTGAACTAAATCCTTTATTTACTCTAGAGTCCGAACAATGTAAATAGTTGCAATACCTAATCTCAGAAAAATAGACAGATGTTGAAGAAATAGATGCATTTGCAAGAATTCTATTTTTCTTCCCTCGTGCTTGTATTCAATAGGTTTTTCTGAAACAAATACAGATGCCTAATCCCCAAAACGCCCTGCCATACACAACTACAAAAACTATATAATCTTACAGAAGTCTTCTCTACTTTTCCCTTCTCGGATTCATTTAAACAAGAGTGTATGTAGCTTCCAGGCAGTTAATGAATGAAATGCGGAAATACCATGCTGCTTCTTCTGAAAGAATCCGAATGTATTCATGCGTGTTGAGTCACCTTCCATGAAATCCTACAGTGCGATCTTGTTTTCCTGGCACAAGCCCTGATAGATTTGAACATGCTGAAGACTGGAATTAGCGAGACAAAATGAGAAAGAGAGAGAAGTGGTAGACATGGTTTGTTGAAACTAGAGAGAAGAAGAGTACGATGCCGAGATTTACAGGAGAATGGGTTGAAAGAGAATAAAAAAAAGAGTCGAAAATAGAATTTCATCGTGAAAGAAAGTAATAATACGAAAGATAGAAAATAAAATAAAAGTAAAGATATAAGTTTTTCTGAAAGATAACGAATAGCAAGAAAAGAGAAAGAAAGCTAATCAGTAAAGGGAAGTAAGACGTCATCAAAATACGAAAACAAATAAATAGAATTGTTAACGGTATGAAAATGAAACAATATGTAATCTGTACGTGTAAAAGAAAGAAGACATTTTGTTTGAAAGAGAATGAAAGGAAAATAAGGAAAAAACAATGCTGGTTCATAGAATTAGAGAAAGAACGAAAGAAAGAGAGAGAGAGAGAGAGAGAGGGAAAGAAAGAAAGAAAGAAAGAAAGAATAAAAAAAAGAAAAAAGAACGAAGGAAACAAAGAAAGAAATAACGAAAGATAGAAGAAACAAACGAAAAACGAATTAATAATCAATAACTAATTGATTGATAGGTGTATTTTTTACGGCTTTTCAACCCTTTGTCGGTTATTCAAATCCGATCATATTTTAGGGTGTCAAATTTCTTTTTTTTGCATTAATAAGTTTTGGAACGAACAATGATTTTTCCAGTTACAAATACAAGTATTTAATAAAAAAGAAAAAAAGAAAGTTTCTTAAAGAAGACTGCAAAAAGAAAGAAAGAAAGAAAGAAAGAAAGAAAGAAAGAAAGTTAGAAAGAGAGAATGAAAGAAAGAGAGAATGAAAGAAAGAGAGAATGAAAAAATACAGAAAGGATTAAGCCTAAGAATCCCAAGTCAATATAAATAAGAATCAGAATAAAAAGAGCAAACAAGCAAATGTTTTTAAGGAGAGATGATTGTTAAGAAAGAAAGAAAGAAAGAAAGAAAGAAAGAAAGAAAGAAAGAAAGAAAGAAAGAAAGAAAATATTCATTTTTGGAAGAAAAAGAAGATGAAGAAGAGAAGAAAAGAAGAACAACATATAATCACACAATCACGCGTACACAGCTTCTCTCACAAAGACACCCGTTCACACAGGAAAATAGCAAATTCACACACAGACATGTACACACAGGCACATAAAAAATCACCCTGACACACTCACACAGGCACAACTACATACAATGGTCACATACATTTACACAATTACACAAACGCGATCATAGAAGCACAAACATATTGGCACACACACGCTTAAAGTCGTTCACACAAAGGCAGTCACTCACAGAAGCAAATACACATATCATCATACGAAGAATACGTGGAGATACACACAGTCACACTGACAAATATATACACATACATACACACATACAGATAAATACATGCAGATATATAAACACAGAAAAAAACACACCATCAAACATATAGTCCCACACAGATATCAACACAAACATACACGTTGATGTTGATTGATTGATCTGTTGTTTTTTTACGGTTAATCAACCATTTGTGGGATATACAAAGACAAAAGATTCCCACAGTCAAATAAAGTTTCTCACAAAAAACTACTAACGTAGAAAAATACACACACTTCCTAGTACAAAAATTCATACAGACATATAACAAATTTGACAGGGGAAATATGCAAAATAAGAAAAGACAAAATTATTCGTATAGTATGAAAAATAGAAACAAATTGAATGATTTCAAAAATGTTTATAGTTAATAGAATGGCCTCATTTTAAATTGCTGCAATCATTTTCTAAAGATTTTGATGAGATTTGAACCAGTCTTTTCTGGAATTTTCTTCCTTTCGTCCCAGGAGTTGTTTTGAAAGACATCGCTAAAAGTTTGGATACGACGGGTATCAGCGTAAGTAATCGCACAATACAACGTTGTTTAAATAGAAATGGGTTGTATGGAAACCGACCTTGACCAACCCCTCTTCACAAACCATGTCACATTGTTGCTCAATTGAATTTTGCCAAAATGTTCTTGGATAATGCAAATTGCTTTTGGAAACAAGTACTATGGAGTGATGAATAAAAAGTGAGTTTTTTTTAACACAACATTGTGTCCAAAAAGCTGATTTTTTATTGATATGTACAGATGATTTGGCGCAAAAAAGTTGAGGCTTTCCTCCCAAAGAGCACACTCACAACATTAAAACATAGAGGCGGCTCGATTAAATTTTGGAATTGTTTTAACTCAAGGGGCCTGGACAATTAATCTCTATAAGGTAAATATTGAAATCTACATACTATATCAAAATTCTGGATGAAAATCTATAACTATCAGTGCAAAATCTTCATCTAGGTTGGCGATGTACTTTCCTGCAAGGTAATGATCCCAAACATACGTCTAAATCAGTTACTGCGTGGTTTCAGAAAAAGAAGACTACAACTCAGTTACTCCTGTGTTGAATCCTATTGAAAATTTATGGCAAGAATTGAAAGTTTGAATAAATCATCGATCACCAAAAAACCTTCCATTTAGCGATGTCTTTCAAAACAACTCTTGGGATTATATTAATCTCGCAACACAGTTTTCGTGCAGTTCTCGGTGACACTTTGGATTTTTTCCATGTTTCTCTGTCGTGTCAAACTGTTTAAACTTCTTTATAACGGACTGCACCTTAGATCTAAAGATAGCTAAACGGTTTGAAATAGGGCTGTAACTATTTCCCGACTTGTGGAATTTAATAATTATCTGTCTCAAGTTAACGCTAAGTTCCTTTGTCTTCCTCATCGTGTTGTTAACGTAAGAATAAAAATGCTGACACTCTATTCATCACATGATGTTCTTTGCTGGAATTATCTCAAATATTCTACTGAATAATTAGTTGAGAAGGCCTCCCCGATTAGATAATTCTGTAATTTATTTACACTAATCAATCAATTTAAAACGATATTTTCTACTGTAGAATATTTTTGTCTTTTCCTATTTTGTATAATTCGCATGTCAAATTTGTTGCATTTAACGTATTGTTCTGAAAATTGAGTTTTATAACCGTTTTTTGCGCATATAATACATATAAAAACCTGGCATTATATGGGCACTGGATTAGAGAAGTAGATAAAAATAATCAAAATTGATGAAGTGGATAAAAAAAATCAAAACTGATGGGTGTACGTTGACTGTATATTCTCGTTTGAAAGAGCCACACAGATGTACAAGCCGACATGAACACATAATTAGAATCACAAAACTTATTAGGTATAGATGCATAGACTTCTTACGGCTATATCTCATTGAAACACCGGTTCTTGTTAAAACGTCGAAGTTAAGCCTGGTCAGTACACAGATGGGTGACTACTCGGGAATACCAGGTAGTGCAAACTTGGATGTACGGCTTGGATGAAGGCACAGAATGAGAAAACAGATAGCCGAGTTCAGATTCTTGTTCATTATATTGATTTCAGCGCAAATGCTCTCGGAGAAAAGTATGAATCCACTTCCTCCCCTCGCAGAAATGGGTTAAATAACAGAACTCGTATCAGAAAATCATTATTTACCCCTAATAATTCTTAAAATCCCCAAAATATTTTTTCTGCTTTAAATATTCATATCTAGATAGATGAAACCGTAAAAGCCAAAATGGAGAATTAATATAAAACAAGTCGAAGGTCTACATTTGTTTCGGTTTCTTTCTAAAAACTAGACTACCCGTAACCCGTTGGGTTAATGACGTTCAGGTTATAAAACACTGAACTTTAATTCAAAATTAAAAAAAAAAAAATTTCTGAAGAAAGTTGAAATAAAATTACTTTATAAACAACACAGATATTTAAATCATATTCACTTAAGATATTTTCAAATCAGATTAAATTAACAGAATTTTTAATATGCCAACAAATATCTTAATCATAATCACTTGAAAATATTTTTTTAAATGTGGCAAAAACTACTTTTTTAAATATTTAAAATATTGTTTGCTTGAAGAATGCTGAAACAGCAAAATGGGATCTCTTCGTGTCTTTAAACTCAAAATATTGTCTGAAGAAAGTTAAAATAAATATAATTACTGTATAAACAACTTGTATTTTTTTAAATCTTATTCACTCAAATCAAGTTTAAATACATATGTGCCGGACGGACGGACGCACCACGCAAGCACGCACTCAATGAGAGGTGGCAAGAGAGATGTGGAAAGAGAGACGTAAGGTGGGAAGAGAGAGAGAGGGTGTGGAAAGAAAATTAAATCATTATGCGTCAGACGGACGACACACCACGCAAGCACGAATCGCAGACTTTTAGTATTATAGATATATATATATATATATATATATATATATATATATATATATATATATATATATATATATATATATATACACACACATATATATATATATATATATATATATATATATATATATATCTTTCTCTGTATATATATATATATATATATATACAGAAGAGAGAGAGAGAAAAGAAGTTGACAAGCTGATGGCTTTTCAAATCAATAGTAAATTAAACGTTCAATTGAAAAAAAAAGACTTGAACTGTATATTTTATTTTTAGCCAATATAATAACTTCGTTTCTTTATTTTTGTTTTGATTATTGCAAGGTTAATGATTCTCCAAAAACAATTGTAAACACTGACGTCTTTGTAAGCCTTTGGGAACATCATTTTCTAGCAATGGGTGCCAAGTTATTCTTGATCATTATTTATATATGACGCGTTAGGCGTAGGAGCGGTGTATTCAACATTTGATAATTTTGCGTCAATACACGCTTAAAGGTTTTAGGCAGTGTTTTGGTCAACATTTCTTTTTATGGTTAGCCGCAAGGAATTGTAAATTACCTTACGCATAAGTAAAATAATAACGATAATAATATATTTAGAAATTTTTACCTGAAATATCAACTTTTACGGAGACATTGTTGACAATCCTGTATTTAGTTACATAACAAATACAAAAAAATAATATAAATTTTCATGCTATATTCGAATTGGTGTTGGGTATTTTTCATTTCTCTTTTGTTATTTGCAGGATTTTACAATACTTTAGCTGCAATGCTAAGTTTCCTAAGTTGAACAAACTGGAACTATTTCGTTTACGCTTTGTTACCTCTCTTTTCCATTGTTGTTTTTAGATCGTTTTTCGTCCTGTCATTTTGATGGACAACAGCGTAATTTTGAAATTTAGAATCATTTTCTTCCATTCCCAAAATAAAGCCTGTAAAAAGGAATATTTTAAATACGACCAAATATAAAATACTTTTAACAAAAATATGATATTTTAAGGGAAATGTACACTTTATGTTACCTCATCTCATTGCAATGTTACGAAGTATAAAATTAAACTGAGCTTGAAATGTTGTGTAATCGACTCTAACTTTTTTTTTTGTAAAATACTTGGATGTGATATAAGGAATAATTTTCAGTGGAAAAAGGAATTTCCGATTTTTTTGTTGAATACGCCCTTACTCCGCCGAACATGACATATATTGTTTTCAACCCACACTGGCCGAGGTATCACTTGACGTCATGCATATAATTACCACTGGAATGAATTGTGTGAGATGAAACTAAACTTGCTAAATAGATATACACGAATTGTTTCGGGCGCTTCACCGAAGAGAAATAGCTATCAAGCTTCTTTTGTATTTCATAACTCAATAGTGAGAGAGAAAGAGAGAGTCTTTGGATACACGACAAAATTGGCTTCGTACCAGATAAGGCTAATCGCCATACATAGATATATTTGGTTAGATATTTTAGCGCTACGTTATTGGATAATGGTGAGCACAGAAGCCTGATTGATCTTTTTTACTGTTCTGGGAGTGACCAGAAACCTGCAGAACACTACACTTCCAATCTTGGATCAAATTAAGGGAAAATAGAATCGAAAAAATGGTAATAACATTGTAGCTTTGTTAAAGACCCGGGGAAAAATAAATACGAGCCTTATCAGCAGAAATCGGCAATCTTCTTTATGTGCAGTGTCCCCTCAGGACCTAAGCGATCATGGGACTCCACAATGTCCTATCCATTGTAGGTCATAGTAAACTTTGTCTTTCTGTTATTTCTCTTAAGCCCTGTTCTGCCATCCATTTACTCAAGCTCTTTAAGTGTGTTATACATTGATTCCTCTGCCACTCTTGTCCTCTATCTGTTCTGTGAGTATCAGATTTTCCAAGCACACCTTCCTCATTATGTGCGCTAGAAACATCAATTGCCTGTTCCTGATGTTAAGTATTAGTTTCCTTTTTGTTTCCATGTTCTTCAGAACCCCGTCGTTACTCACATGTTCGTTCCATGGTATCCTCAGCATCTATCTGTAGAGCCACATTTCTGTTGCTTAAATCTCCTCTGTATTAACAGCCATACCAAAAGACAGATATATTAATATTAGCTGTCGCCTGATAATGGAACATTCAGCGTTCATTGACCGAACACCAAGTGAGATTGTCGATTGAAATCTTTCTATTAAGAAATTTTTAGAAAAATTGGTTCCTCAACTTTTATATATTGGGGTGGGGGGTATCAAGCGTCAGATTTATTGAAGGTCTGCCACACCTCTCTCCTAAGAATGATTAGCGACACTAGATTTGTTTTTGAGGCAGGAGTAAACAGTGTCGTGCGTGTAGATGCCTACTTGGGAACCTATGACTTCAAGGAGGTCGGAAAGAATAATTTGTTGTTAAAGATAATAATAAGGTTATTTGTTTTTCATGATAGAGAATTAAAAGAAAAATACTTGAGTGAAGTAATTTGAATGCGTGAAAAACATTTCAGTTTAGGATGTGTGACAAGGTGTTAACAATTTTTAATGTAATCATTTATTGAAATAATAAAACGTACATTGCAGCATTTTCAAGTTTTTGATAAGTAGTGCACTTCAAACAAATTCTCTTGAAGATTTTTAACAGCAAGAATTAAAAACGGTAACAAAAGCTAACATGGCTTGTACATTTAATTAAAACGGAAAATAATTATACAGGGTGTTTAAAAAAAATTGATATCATTTCGCAATCTAATAACTTTGTTAGATCTCCTTCAAATGACTTCAAATTTTAATAGCATCTTTATGTTTAATGTTTGTTTTATGTTTTTATGTCTTTATGTTTTTGTGTTTTTCTTATTTGTATTTTTATGTTCTTTAATCTTTAATCTTTTTCTTTACAGGTATAAAAATGCCGTGTCTCAGGCGGTGCGCATATTGAATATTTGTGAAATCGTTCACATAATCCACATGCTATTGAATTTCTCATTCAGATTTGGAAGAATAAATCTTATGATCTTCAACATTAATACTTTTTAATTTCATTTGCCTTAATCATGTACTTTCTCTGATATTTACATCTCAAAGGATATCAATTTTTTTAAAATACCCTGTATAATCAAAGTGTTTTCAACAAAACCA